GGATACAGCATAATTATTTTCACAATTGGCCAAGAAAAGTTCAAAAATGTCTCTAAAAGCAGCGAAGTTATCAATTTCTTTACGAGATTGACGATCTCTGTAATCGTCAAAACGAATACAACGTAATAAGAAAAAAAATCGTTTCAACGTCATTGCTGAATGAAAAATACCTATTCCTAAACCATTTGTTCTCCAAAGATCTTCTAAATTTTGATGTCCTGACCTATTTACTCCTGATAGAATGAGTAAGCCGAGTAAACATTTAATTTCGTCCTCATCAGTTTTATTCACGTCTCTACTACGAACGAATTTGTGAGCGATACGATTAATGTATAAATTCGTACAAAATACAACACTTCTGATTATTTTATCGTCTATGAATAATGAAAAACAATCAATAGGAGTTTTACAATTTTTTGCTCCACCTTTCACACCTGCCGGAACACGAATAATATTTTGCTGTTTTGCTCTGGTACTTGTTNGAGTTTTACAATTTTTTGTAAAACTGGTTACAATCTGGTAGGGACTGTCTTGGCCCATTTTGTTGTCTTATCTTTACCCCAAAAATATTGTCTGTTACCTGTTGACGAAAAGTCGGAATCAGTTTTATTATATTCACTGCCTGAACTTGAATCATTCGTCTCAGTATCACTATTGTGTTCATCAACTTCTAATGTATCAGGCAATTCAGAGTCGGTGTCATTCTCAAAGCTCATTTCGTTTTCTTCAGGAATACTTTCATTTAGCAAATTTTGAATACTCTGTATTTCTAGGTCTTCTGAGTGACTGGTCATTGTGATCTGGACTACATTTATTACTTATTAGTTAAGAATAATATAGTTTTAATTTGTATATAACATAAATATTGACACGGACCGCGTCGTTCTCTATACACGGAACCCCGCGACCCGTGACACCTGTATCAGCCGCCGCCCTTCTACGTGCATATGGTAGTTTGACTGACTAACACCGCGTGCGATACGCCACGGTACAAAGTCCAGCAAGTGCCGCACGTCCAGCTACGACCCGCCGCAAATACACGTGAAGTCATCTCCGTGACACCGTTCGACACACATCGGCCTTTTTCCTCATCGTCAATCAGTGCCTAATCTCGTGTCTGTTCATCTTAACTTGTGTTTTCTTCGTCTTTTAGTAATCGTGTATATTATCTATAATAATTTAAAGTGTATATATATATATATAACATATATGTAACATTGTTGAATAAACGGCACCGCACAAACTAAATAACTATAATCGTGTCGACTACATTATTTATCCGTCATTACGACGTCTAAGTATCTGTCAACTGGCTCCCCGGCAAAGATTCTAAACCGGATTAACTTTGACTAAGGTAAGAAAACCATTTGCTGACTTGTCTGTAATCTATTTTACTTTTTTATATAAGAGACAGCTAGGTTTACTTAGCCGCCCTGTGCTTCGAGTTATTTCAGTCACAGTCCGCTGGTGACAGCAGCGAATTCCCCGCTCGGTTATAGATAAATTTTCAATAGCGCAACAATTGTAGAATTCCACTTCGCTAGTTATTTTTAACATTAACAAGTAGATTATCCAGTTGTTGCCCAACCATTCCTTATCGCGTGCGCGAGACGACGCCGCTGATTCACATTACATTGCAACGACAGCGATAGACAGGTAGTGCACAATACACTCCGTATCAACGCGTTCGATATAGCATTAACAACCGAGCCCATAAAACCGTTTGTATTATTATTTCCGACCTTCGAAATTATAAATATTATAGTAACGTCATCCCCATACAAAACCATTATCTTAGTTCTATACTATATCAGTACCACAACAACAATAATAATACAAACGGCCGGCATTGTTGACGTTCATACGCGAGCACATAACGCGTATTCTCGAGACCGACGGTATTGTATTTCCGAATAACAAAAACAAACAAGCGCTTGCGTTTTATTTATTTATTTTTGTTCATTCTCGCGAAATACGGTAAAGAACGTTCACGATGTCAGGTAAAACTTTGTCTCAGATGAATCGTCGGGAACTATTGCGCGAGTGCGCGTATAGACAGCTAAATGGGCCCACAACGAAAAGCGATATGCTAGCCGTGTTGGAAAATAATTTACGCAGCGAAGGGCTAGACCCGTCGAACGCGATTTTACCCGAACGCCCGCCGCTTCACTATGAGACGCTCGAGACGGAACGCGAGTCACGGATAGACGACGCCCCCGCGCTATGCCGGACCGTCGTCCCCCCGACACACGCGGATCAACCGGTTAACCTGGCGCTAGAGGAATCCGAAACAGGGTCTCTACACGAGTGGTCCCAGGCAACCGGCCGTCACAACGGATGTGTGAACGCAGCGTATACAGATGACATGTATACGGTACGTTCAATATCCCACGCAACGGAGGAGATAGGCGCGTTAAGGCAGAGCTTACGCGATGTATCTTTGAACACACGCATGGAAGCGCGCATGTCAGAAGTAGAGAGAGCACTGTCCCGCATTACGCAGGAGATTCGGTCCCTCTCACACACAATTACAAGTCGCGATTTAAACAACGAGTCCATGCTAAATCCGTTCGCCACCGCACAAGTGACGCGAGGAACAGCCGACACAAATCGTACTGATCGCGCGCACTTGCCAGAACAAAACCGCGTAACGTTTGGGCCGAGTAGCATGACCCAGAATAACGCGGCTTTACAACAACGTTTGACGGAGATCGAAGAGCGCGAGGCGTGCAATATACAACGATTAGCCGGCCAGACCACGCGCGCGTCTCCATCACTACCTCGAGCGAACACGCACGAAGCAACTTACAATTCAGACGCGCGCCCACAACACACGGGACATTTCGGGTCAAACACGTTTGTGCCACCGACACGCGATTTGTCACCGTCCTCATCAACCCGTTCATATACACATTCGGCGACTGTACCGTACAATAATCCACCTGTTTTACGTCCTCCGTCTCCTGAGTTCACGGGGAAATATGAGGAGGACCCGAGGGAATTTCTAGAGCAGCTAGAAAACCTCCTGACACAATCCGGTATCCATTATGATTTGTGGGTGAGAACCGGGGTACAGTTTTTAAGGGACACGGCATTTACTTGGTGGGAGTCCATTAAGTTGAACAACATGTCCTGGCGCCAATTTTCAAGGGAGTTTCTCGTGGCGTTCGATAATAATAGCATCCAAGCCGAGCTAGAAAACGAACTCATGACATCACAACAGGGGCCCAATCAGCGTATGACGGAATTTATTATAGATAAACAACGTTTAGCGATGCGCGCCCGCCCCAGTTGTTCCGAGCAGCAGATCGTGGATCGTGTAGTTAGTCTTTTACGCGACGAATATTACGGCAACGTGAAAATGCGAAGTCCGCGTACTCTAGACGATTTGCGCGTAATCGCGAACGATCTCGACAGGCCCTTACGCACGGGTAGGCTAAAAACCAACTTAAAGCCGTACGTACCGCCTCCTGCGCCTCCCCAACCACCGCAAGTTTTTCGACAGCGGGCGAGCGCGCCTAACGCGGAACGCCCCCCCCGACCCTGCCGATATTGCGGAGCAGACCACTGGCACAGCAGTTGCCCTAATAGGCCGACTGTTTCGGGAAACGGGCAACAGTCACGGAGAAATTAGTCCGCTCTTCTGGCTTAATGACACAATTCCACACAGCAAACAAACNAAAGACACAATTCCATACGGCAACAAACAAGCACACCACACAACGCGCAGCGCGAATAACTAATTCGTTCATTAGCGATAGCGAAAGCGAGCGCGTTCCTCTCGGCCAAAATGATGAAATTTTTAACGACCTTCCACCTCACCTCGCCCGTTCACCGGGCCCTCAACCTCGACTACAGCCCCTCGCTCGTAACGCAGGACAAGCTGTAGCCCCTTTAAATGCACTTACCGCACCCCCCACCCACNAACGCAGGACAAGCTGTAGCCCCTTTAAATTCACTCACCGCACCCCCCACCCACAGTGAGGGACACAATGCGGTCCTCAAGGTTTTTAAAAATATTAGTCATACGGCCGAGAAAACAAAAGTCCCCGTGTTATACGATGATAGCGCGAGTCGGGCCAACGACATGTTAGCCACCGTGGGGGAGGGGATACCAGCCGAGACGGCCTACCCGCTTATGGCGATTGACACCGCCGGCGGACAAACCGTTCAGACGCTCCCCGTTCGAACCGTAAACCACCCGAGTTTTGCCAAACAAACACGCCCGCGTAAAATTACAACTCCCGCTGTGGAACAACGCTCTTAGACAACCTGTACTGTGACGTACTTCTAGGGCATGATTTTCTGACCGATCAGGAAGTCTCTTGGGATTATGCTGCGT